GGCAAACAATCATATAAACAAAAAAAAAAAAAAGTGAAGCTGGGTTCTGGGTTTCGTTGAACCCAGCAACTGGGTTCGATGGAACCTAGTGCTGGGTTCAATGACCCGAGGAAGAAAGAAGAGGAGGAAAGAAGAGGAAGGAAAAAAAAGAAAAAGAGAAAGGAAGAAAATGAACGTGACTTATTTTATTTTATTTTTTAAAAATATAAATAGTAATAAATGTGAGGTGGCATGAAAAAAAAAATCCACGTAAGTACGTTTTCAATTTGTTTTTGTTACGTCATCAAAAAAATTATAAAAAATACCACATAAGCGAGTTAACGATCAAAATTAACAGAAGGACTAACGGAGTGCATTTCGTATAGTTGAGGGATCAAAAAAGTGCAAAAAATTGTTGAGGGACCAAAAATGTTCATTTCTTAAAGTTAAGGGACCAAATTAAGCATTTAACCTTTATCTTTTGCTCCACTTGTTCATTTTCCTACTTCCCCTAGCCATGCTGTTGAAATCTTAGCCTGCTTCCATCCCTACCTACTCCTTATTTGCAACGTATCAGTTTCAAGATCAATAGTAAGACACTTTTATCACATCCACCTATTCATCCCAGAAAGCCACCTTATTACGCCACAACCAGATTACCAGGACAACCCCTCTCTGACAAAAGATTGACCAGCTGGTGTGGATTGTCAAAGGCGACTCTAATCTTCCAAAACTCATTGCCTCAAAATCCAAAAACTCAACTTATGCACTCAAGACGGCAACAAGAATTATATTATACATGATAAAATAAATTTCAATCAATTTTAATGGGTTAAGTTTCTTGTTCTACCTAGCACGTTTAGGACATTGTATTTAATGGGTTTTGGCAAAGTTGTCCTCCACAGAAGCACCAAAGCTTCAAACACTGCGCAAGAACGCTTGAATTTCTAGGTTCTGCGATTTGAGAGGGGAACTGTATTTCTTGTGGTTGCCTGCGTTTCTCGAGATTACTTGCTATAACAATTTAAAACTAATAATTAATAATTCGTATAATTTGATATGTCTAATAATTTTAATTATTAATAATTTAAAATTTCTTATTCATAAAATCGTTAATTATTTGTTTTAAACCGTTATATCAAATAATCTCTAAGTCTTAAGATCATCTGAGTTTCTAGGCCTAATCTTGTGATTGGGATCATGGTATGGGGATTTAATCGCAGTGACAGTTTTAATGACCGAGATTTCGGGTTCAATTCGTGCGAAATGGAATGGGTAGTGTGTGACGGTGGTGGATGGCAGGGATAAAGCTTATTGAAGCATTTGGTAGGAGGCAACAAACGGGAAGGAGAAACAGCGTGCACGAGGTTGACATCGGTCGAGATTGAAAGTCGGGTCGGGTATAGACCCGTGTGTTTTTAGGGAAAACAATTTCCAAATTTTTGTTCTGGAAGTTGTTATCCAAGATTTTCCAAAGTTTTCCGTTGACTCTAAATATTTTTTGTTGACCATATTTTCCTATGTGCCCCAAACATAAGAAAATGCAAAAAACATTTTCCTGAAAATATTTTTTTTTCAATCAAACGGACCCTAAGTTTATTAAAGTTAAGGTGGTGGCGCAAGAAGCTTTGGTATTCAATTCCAAGGTGCACGTCCCTTACAATTTAATGATTCTGAAGGCCACTTGAATGAAGTTTTGATTGATTGTCTTATTGGAGAAAGGATATGTGAATTTTTTTTTTTTGGTTGTTAATTAAGGATTTAAAGATTTAGAAGGCTAGAAGGCACGCCATAAATGTTTGGTACATGCCTGATGGACTGGTTTTTGATATTAATTTCGGTCAGCTTTAGCTGTTTAGATTAGAGTTTCGTATATGTTCTAGGAAATTACGGGTTCAGGTATTCTTGTACCCCTTAAATTTATTTTTATTTTGTTGATAAAAAAATGTTTATTAAAATTAATTATCTAAATAATTCAATAGGTAGTATTTTTTTTGTAAAAATAAAAGATTTTAAATTTAAATCACATGACATATAAATAGAATAAAGTTAAAGAATGAAAAAAAATGTTATCTTTTATTGTAAAACCTAAATTAAAAAATATTTATTAAAGCTCAGAGTTGTATTGTTTCTAATTCATTAATTTCTCCTTCTTTGAAAAAAGAAAAAGATTGGAGTATTTTTGGGTGACAATGATACTATCTATGGGTAGGGATTTTATTTTATTTTATTTTATTTATAAAAATGTAATATCCCAAAATTTTGTGATATTTTAGCATTTAAGTAAGGATTTTTGTGAGAAAAAATATTGTTTTGAGACCTAATATGAATATTTTGAAACTTGAGGGACTTAAAAGAGAAAAAAATTTGGATAAGGATCAGCTATTTTTTTTTCTCCTTTTCCTCTTTCTTCTTCAGCCCGATTCTGCTCTTGTTCTTCATCCCCGACAGCCCCCCCAAGCCCCTCCAGCCACCGACTCATTTCTTTGAGAAAATTGGTGACAAAGCTTGAAATATCCCATTCTTTCCTGCTCAATAACAAGCATTAGGACTTAGAAACCCTCCCTAAAGCAAGGGATTTCAGATCTGCAGTTTCTCTTCCTCCCCTATCCGCCGGCTGCTATGTGGGTGTGTGATTTTTGGGCTTTTTCCGGTAAGCAAAAGCCATTAAATTCTTTGTTTTCCCTTGAATTGGCTTGGGTTTAGTTTAATTTCTCTTGGTTTCTCTAATTTCCGGTAGATCCCCTGAAATTCTCCTTCATTCCCACCGGCCTTCCCCCAAACTGCAGCTCCGGTTTTTCTGGGAAAATTCTGGTATGTTGACAGCTCTTCCAAGCCTGAAATTTCATCAATTAATTGCTGCCTGTGCTGTCCGAAATTCTGCAGTAATTAGGGGATAATTCTGGTAGCTTTAGGACGAAATTTAAGCATTAATTCAAGTGGAATTTATGTGATTGAGTGTTAATTGACTGCTGTGAGATTTTGGAGAAAAATCCCGTGAGATTAACTATGGTTTTACCAAATTTTGGAAGTTGCAGTTACTGTTCACTGCGTTATTACTGTTTATGGGTACTGTTTACGGCACTGTTCATGCACTAATGGGCAACAATAAGAGGGTTTAAATGTGTGATTATATTGAGAATAAAATTGAGATGTTTGGTTATATGGTTGAATTTTGTGTGAAGCTCATTAGTTAGTAAGGTTGCAAGGTTGTGCTAATAATTCTAGTAAAGTCTGAATGTTTATTTAGAATATTAGGTGCTGTTATAACTTAGAGCACTTGGATTGAGTTCTCGGTTTATGCGATTTGAGGTAAGTAAATTATAGTAACGCCCTTCAATTTTAAAGCATATTTTAGCTTGTTTTTGAAGTGGTGACGGGACTAAACCCGTTTTACATGAGCATGATGGATTTGAAATGAAATTATTATTCTTTTTTATTGATTTAAGCATGCCTGCTTAGAGTTTATTTAACTGTCCTGATGATCTGAAAATTATCTGTAAAGTATAATTTTTTGTCAAATTTTGCCTGTTTTGTCTCTGATATGGTCATGTTATTCGTGTGCCCGCTAGTGAGAGGTTTATAAACGCTAGCACATGTCGATATGTTACTGATAGAACCGGTTCGTTCATGTTATTTTGCTAGTGGTATTATACACTAGTAAATCGTGTGCCTGCCAGTGGGAGGTTTATAACACTGGCCATGACCTATAGAGGAGACGTCTATTTCATTCCTGTACTGTATCCGTTTTTCGTGATTATACTGGTTGGCATGCTATAAGTTTAAGTAAGGATTATTCATATTTACTTACTGAGTTATCTCATAGTTTTTCCTTATCCACCATTTCAGGAAGCGAAGTCAAGGGCGGGGAAAAATAAGGGGAGTGACGAGTTAGAAGGCTAGCCACCTGTAAATTGAAATAGATTTTAAATATAGATCATGATCCTGTTTTCTTTATTTTTTATTTGTTTTTTTTAAATGATATATACGGACCGATCTCGGTCCGTATAACCTTATACGGACCGAGATCGGTCCCAATATTCCCTGAACAATAGCCTTTTTATTTTTATTTTTTTCTAAGTTACATTTGGTGAATTTTAAAATTTTTCATGTATAATATAGTTAAACTTTTACATATTTTTTTATAAAT